GCCCCTGCCTAGAATCCCCCAGTGAGGGGCTGGGGGTGTGGCTCAGTGGTAGAGCCCCTGCCTAGAATCCCCCAGTGAGGGGCTGGGGGTGTGGCTCAGTGGTAGAGTCCCTGCCTAGAATCCCCCAGTGAGGGGCTGGGGGTGTGGCTCAGTGGTAGAGCCCCTGCCTAGAATCCCCCAGTGAGGGGCTGGGATGTGGTTCAGTGGTAGAGCCCCTGCCTGGAATCCCCCAGTGAGGGCTGGGGATGTGGCTCAGTGGTAGAGCCCCTGCCTAGAATCCCCCAGTGAGGGGCTGGGATGTGACTCAGTGGTAGAGCCCCTGCCTAGAATCCCCCAGTGAGGGGCTGGGGTGTGACTCAGTGGTAGAGCCCCTGCCTAGAATCCCCCAGTGAGGGGCTGGGGTGGGGCTCAGTGGTAGAGCTCCTGCCTAGAATCCCCCAGTGAGGGGCTGGGGTGGGGCTCAGTGGTGGAGCGTCTAACATTTTCAAGGTCCTAGGTTTACTCCCCTGGGTGATGGGTAGCTACCTCCCCTTTACTGAAGCATCCCTCAGCTGGCACTCTAAGAGGCAGGCTTCCTCCAGGCCACGTGAGGATGAAACAGAGTAACCTAGTATGAATAATTCATTCAAACAGAGAGGGAGATAAGTGAGTTTAGCAAACTAATATTTCTGTTTGTCCCAGGCTTTATGTTGTGTAATGTATTGTCTGAGAAGACAGAGCCAAGGCCCTGCCGCCCGCAGGGAAGCCAGTGTTAAGGGTGAACTTGATACATTTTATTAAGCACCCTTTCCAAGGGCTGAAAAATCTTTGCATCTTGGGAAGGAGAAACATTGTCACCTCCAGCCTAAATGGCGAATCATCCTTCAAGCCAGTGCTCTCTAGATGGACACTTGGGTTATTTCTATTTCTAATTTTTATTGTGGCAAAAAATCAAAGTTTATATCCCTGGTGTAAAGGGGGTGGGTCAAAGGGCACGTGGATCGGTTACATTTCTGTCTAAATAGCTTCGCCCATTGCCTGCCTGCCTGCCAGGAGGAGCTGTGAGCGCCCCCGTGAGGACATGCTAGGCAATACCTGGCCTTTGTGCCGTGAAGCTGTCAATCAAATCAGATTTACAAACTTTGTCCGTCTGACTTCTGCAAAATTTTCATTTATGCACCTCTCCATGTCTTTTTTAGGGGCCCTCTCCCCCTTTTCTGAGACAGGGTCTCACTCTGTAGTCCAGGCTGGTGTGGAACTCCCTATACAGACCAGTGAAACACACACACTAGCCCATGAACACGCGGCTCTGGCGGGCCTTACCCTCTCCCATCCCCTCTGCCTTGCCCAAAACCATCAGATTACATTCCTAAAGCTTGCCACCAAGGACTGTTCCCTTATCTGGCCAGTCCCTCCTGCCGAGGCGGACTACCAGGGTCCAGCTATCAAAGAACTGAAGTCTGGCCACCAGGAGCCCCTTTGGTTCACCTAACATGCCGATTAAAATTACACACTTCATCCTAACACCAGTTTCCACCTTTACCCTTATAAACCGCCATTTGCCCGTGTGCCACGGCGGAGTCCTCTCTACCCAGAGGCCGTCCTTTGTTCCCCAGGACAGATCCTCCCTCTCTCCCTGTTCCTTCCCCTCCTCCCTGGTCCTCTGTGGCCTGTCTTTGTCTCTTATCTCCTGCCCTCTGTCCCCATGGGGCAAATAAATCTCCTTTGTGCTGAGAACTTGGTCATGGGGGTCCTGAGCCGATGCTGATCTCTTACACCAGGCCTGCCTGGAACTCCCAAAGATCCTCCTGCCTCCGCCTCCCCAGTGCTGGCGTGTGGCATGATGTGTGGCGTGGCAAGCTCCTAACATGATACTTAGAGGACCATCCATCATTATACTGAGACCCGAGAAAGGCAGGGTGGTCAGAGGGTCCCTGCTTTTGCCCTGTGAGGCCTCGTGTGAGTCTCTCCACTGCTCAGGCTGACCCCGGGCTGATGACCTGAGTCCTCAGGCGGAGCCCCGGGCTGTATGACCTGAGTCCACAGGCTGAGCCCCGGGCTGTATGACCTGAGTCCACAGGCTGAGCCCCGGGCTGTATGACCTGAGTCCACAGGCTGAGCCCCGGGCTGTATGACCTGACTCCTCAGGCTGAGCCCCGGGCTGATGACCTGACTCCTCAGGCTGAGCCCCGGGCTGTATGACCTGACTCCACAGGCTGAGCCCCGGGCTGTATGACCTGACTCCTCAGGCTGAGCCCCGGCCTGTATGACCTGACTCCTCAGGCTGAGCCCCGGGCTGTATGACCTGACTCCACAGGCTGACCCCCGGGCTGTATGACTTGGGACGCACGGTCCTCTGCCTTGACTTCATGGTCTTCACGCTGCGGCTGCTGCACATCTTCACAGTGAACAAGCAGCTGGGCCCCAAGATTGTCATCGTGAGCAAGATGGTGAGGCTGAGGAGGAGGGGCAGGGCCAGGAGTGAGAGAATGGGACCCAGAGAGAAGGGGTGGAGCCTGGAGTGAGGGCAGAGGCAGGGTGGGCTCTGAGGGGACAGCTTTGCCTGGAAGGGACTGGATGTGGATCTGAGGCTAGGCGATGCCAAGGAGGGGAAGGTGTGGCGGGGGAGAAGCCGGGCTCTGAGGATGCTGAGTGTCTGAGACATGAAGGGGGGCCAGGGAGGAGAGGACAGGGCTAGACTCAACCCACCTTCCTCTGCTTCCAGATGAAGGACGTCTTCTTCTTCCTCTTCTTCCTCTGCGTATGGCTTGTGGCTTATGGGGTGGCCACAGAGGGGATCCTGAGGCCCCAGGACCGGAACCTATCGAGTATCCTGCGCCGCGTCTTCTACCGTCCCTATCTGCAGATCTTTGGGCAAATTCCCCAGGAGGAGATGGACGGTAGGGACAGGCTCTCCGGCGGCGGAGTCTGCCTCTCTGGGTCTCTGTCCTCTCTCTGACGGTCTCTGTCTCCCAGTCTCTCTCCTCCCCCCCTGCCCCCCTCTGCTCATACTTGCTCTCCCCCTGCAGTGGTCCTCATGGTTCCAAGTAACTGCTCTGAGGAGCAGGGCTCCTGGGCTTACCCGGAGGGGCACGACTCGGGCTTCTGTGTGTCCCAGTATGCCAACTGGCTGGTGGTGCTGCTCCTCGTCGTCTTCCTGCTGGTGGCCAACATCCTGCTGCTCAATCTGCTCATCGCCATGTTCAGGTGTGCCCGGCCTTGCCCCCCCAGCTCCCCCTAGCCTGAGCCTGTTCAGGGATCCCACGTCCTGCCTCTCACCCCGTGCTGGCCAGGCCCCATGCCGCACTTGGCCTTTTTGCTGCTGTTTTTGGCATGCTGAGGCAGGGGGTCACCCTGTAGCCCAGGCTGGTCTTCGAATTTAGGATAACCCTGCCTCTGCCCCTCAAGTGTTGGGATCACATGCACAGGCCACCATGCGCTAAATGCTTTGAATTTTGATGCAGTCCACTTTATTGAATTATTCCTTTGTTGCTTGTAGTTTATTTTATTTATGTTTATGAACATTTTGTCTGCGTGTATGTGTGTGCAGTGCCTGCAGAGGTCAGAAGAGGTCACTGGATCCTCTGGAACTGGAGTTACAGGCAGTTGTGAGCCACCATGTAGATGCTGAGAACTAAATCTGGGTCCTCTGAAGAGCAGCCAGTGCTCCTAACCTTAGCTGAGTCATCTCTCCGGCCGGAGTTTTGTTTTTTGGGGCTTATACTCTTGCTGTCTGTTGAAAGTTCAGAGAACATCTGGAGATGTTCTTCCAGATCTTCTGCTAAGAGTTTGTTTTGGCTTTTAGCTCCAGTTTGAAGATCACTGGCCCATTTAGAATTACTTTTTGTTTGCAGTGTGAGGACAGGCCCAACTTTATTCTTTGTATCCATTGAAGAGAGTTCATTAAAGACACTGGGGTAAGGTCCTCGTTAGGAGCAGCTGAGCTCAGGTGGGGGGTGAAACAAGCCTGCTGTCCCAGCACTTGGAAGCTGGAAGCAGGAGGGTCAGGAGCGTGGGCTACGTGTAATCCTCTATCACACAAGGGCTGGAGAGATGGCTCAGTGGTTAAGATCACAGGCGCCCCCGTGTTCTAGTTCCAGCATTCACGTGGCATCTCACAGCAGCCTGTAATTCCAGTTCCAGGGAATCTGACGCCCCCTTCTGGTCTTTGCGAGCAGTGCACTAACATGCAGGCAAAACACCTCTACATATAAAAACAAATAAACCTTAAAAAAAAAAAAAAAGCCAGGCGACGGTGGTGCACGCCTTTAATCCCAGCATTTGGGAGGTAGAGGCAGGTGGATCTCTGAGTTCAAGGCCAGCCTGGTCTACAGAGCAAGTTCCAGAACAGCAAGGGCTACACACACACACACACACACACATAAAAAACACAAAACTCAAACCCCCAAACCATATCACGTAGCTACTGTATTATTTTGAAAACAACGCAGCCAGAATTGCAGGGGAGCTGAGGACATCCAGTCAGTCAGCGGAGCACTTAGCACAGGGGCCTGAGCTGGATCCCCAGAACACATGGAAAGATTTCAAGCCTGATGTTGGGTTATTGTAATCCTGGTACTGGGAAGACAGAGACAAGAGGACCTCTGAGGATCTGGTCAGACAGGCTAGTCTAGCCAGTGAGCTCCCGGCCAGTGAGGGACCTTGCTTCCAAGGCACACAGCCTCCTGAGGATGACATCAGGGTTATCCTTTGGGCCTCACATGCACACACATATGCACCTGTACGGATACAAACACGTTCCCACACATGCGTTAAGTAAGTAAACACTTGTGCTGGGCAGATGGCCCAATCATGAGGACCAGGGACTCCAGCACCCACGTAGGACCAATGTCTGGAGCTCAGGTTCCACGGGATCTTACACCCTTTTCTGGTCTCCACAGGCGCTTGCACACAAAAACTTGAATCCTATGAGTGTTTGCTAGCATGTATATCTGCACACCACCCGAGTGTAGTGCTGGCAAAGACCACAAGAGGGAGGTAGAGACAACCGTGAGCCACCTCATGAGTGCTGGGAACTGAACCTGGGTCCTCAGCAGGAGCCAGGTGCTCGTAACTGCTGGTCCATTTCTGCAGTCCCTGACTACTTTATCTTGACTTGTAACCCAGTCCTATGATCAAGGGCCTTTTTTGGCCTCCAGTGACCCTTGACCTCTGGCCTCCACAGCTACACCTTCAGCAAAGTGCAAGACAACAGCGACCTCTACTGGAAAGCCCAACGCTACAGCCTCATCCGGGAATTCCACTCTCGGCCCGCGCTGGCCCCGCCCCTCATCATCATCTCCCACGCGCGCCTCCTCATCAGGTGGCTGCGCAAGTGTCATAGGGCTAACTTGCCGTCCTCCCCAGCCTTCGAGCACTTCCGTGAGAAGGGAGCGTGGTCCGCAAGGGGGCGGGGCCCGGGAGGGGGAGGGGAAAGAAGACAAATGGGCGGGGTTCGGGGCTTGGGGGCGGGGCGGGGGCGGGGCCTCGGGTAGGCCCGCCCTTGACTCCTGGTCTTGGCCCTGCAGGTGTCTATCTCACCAAGGAAGCGGAACGGAAGCTGCTGACCTGGGAGTCCGTACACAAAGAGAACTTCTTACTGGCACAGGCTCGCGACAAGCGGGACAGTGACTCGGAGCGCCTGAAGCGCACATCCCAGAAGTGAGGCAGGGGCCTGCGACGGGCAGGATTCCCGGGTGGGATGCTCTGCGGGGATGGGCTTGCATCCCACGGGAGGCTTCAGGAGGCGCGGCTTCCGCAGGTCGGCTGGACCGGGGCTCGGGGGTCTCTCTTTCTAGGGTGGACACCGCACTGAAGCAGCTGGGGCAGATTAGAGAGTACGAGCGGCGTCTGAAGGGGCTGGAGAAAGAGGTGAGGACTTGGGCGTGGCAGAGGGGCACTGCAGGCATGGGTCCAGCCTGCCTTGACGGACCCTTTCTTCCTAGGTCCAACAGTGTACTCGCGTCCTGAGTTGGGTGGCTGAGGCCCTTAGCAGCTCTGCCTTGCTGCCTCCAGGGGGGCCGCCCCCTCCAAGCCCACCTGGGTCCAAAGGTCTGTGTGGTCTTGGGCTTCTGCAAGGCTTCCCTCTGTGCATCCGTTGTCCCTGGGTCCTTTGCTTGCTCTGAAGGCTTCTGAAGGCTCTGTTGACTGCTTGTGTGTGGATGTGTGTAGCTGGTATGAGTGCATGCATGTGGAGGCCTGGGTTGGATGTCTGACGTCTTCCTCTCTTTCTCCACCTTATTCTTTGAGATAAGATCTCTCCCTGGGCCCAGGTTCTCCCGTGGGCTAGGCCAGCTGGCCAGTTAGCTCTGGGAAATCGGTCTGTACCCGCCCCACTTCCCTGGCTTTTCAAGTTGGTGCTGGTTCACCCTAGCGTGCCTGAGTTTTTGCATGAGTGCTGTGTTCTGATTTCATGGCTCTTGGTGTGATAAAGCACTCTGAGCTATAGCAACTTAGGAGATGGATTCATTTGGTTTCCACTACCAGGTTGCAGTCCATCAGTGAGGGGGGGTGGGCAGGGTGAGAAACGGAAGGTAGACCATGCAACATTACCTCTAACCAGAGAACTCACTCACAGCCAGAGAAATGCACCAGAAACCACGGAGCAACATGGCTTACATGATCACAAAGGCTTTGGCCTATGGGGAAATAGCACCGCCCCCAGTGGGCTGGACCCTCCTACACCAATGTTCAAGACAGTCCCCACAGACATCCCACAGGCCAGTTTGATCTAAGCAACCCTCAGCTGAGGCTCTCAGATGGCTCTAGGCTGTGTCAAGCAGACAGTGGAAGCTAACCACGGAAGAATCTGAACTCAGACTCATGCGCGCATGACGGGCACATTGCCAACTGGAAATCTCCCCAGCACGGTGTCTTTTGCTTCCCTCCCATTTCCCCAGCCCATCACCTGCTGTCTTCTCTGTCTTTTCTAGACTGAGTGTTCCTGGTGGATTTCTAGGTATCTGCATCTGGAGGGTTCATTCCGAGAGCTGGGCCCGGCCTGCCTCAACCTACACAGCGGGCGGCCTTATCCTCACCGCGGCCCCCAACCTCACAATGTCGCCATAGGCCTGGCTCCTCCCAGAGGCAGCCCCGCCTTGGGTGGATCAAACTCTGAGCTGGCAACACTGGACCCTGCCACACGCAGAGGAGGCCAGAGGGTCCTGGGGTTACAGGGACCACAGACCCTGTTCACAGCTTCCCCACAATGGGGAAAATAAAGCCATTTGACAGGAATCATAGCGCATGCCTGACTTGTGTGGGACAGGTGGGTCAAGACTTGGGGGTTGGTGGCTGAGGTAGGCTGGGGATTTAGGGTCCTTAATGGTTTTTGTTTGTTTGTTTGTTTGGTTGGTTGGTTGGTTGGTTGGTTTTTGGGGGGTTTTGTTTGTTTGTTTGGTTGGTTGTTTGGTTGTTTGTTTTGCTCTGTCTCACTTGCTTGGGGTCGGTCCCTCCTCCAGACCCCCGCACCTGCCGATGCAGACCCAGCACCTCTCTACAGACCTCTGCGGTACAGACCTCGTTTGGGTGGCTCCCTTCAGGAGACAGGAACAGTTGGAATCCTGCTGCTTTCTCTTTTCCCGTGGGAACATAACCGGGTAGCAGTAAGAACCTCAGTCCTGGAGCGGGGTGGGCGCCACACTCCTCTGCTCTGGAACATGCAAACAGATGGTGCAGATTTGAGTGGATAAATGCATATGTGTCTTTAAAAAGTCTAATTAGTGGAAAATTGCAGGCCACATTCACACGGGGGGGGGGGGGGGTGAAGCAAATCTACATCGTTATACATGGCAATTTAACTAAATAACCCATAACAAACTAAGCTGGTAATGACAAGGCTGGACTGACAGCAATTATTAGTTAAATAGTGAGAAAGCCACCAGCAGCCAACACATGCAAAAATTAAAACCAAAACATCCTCCAAATTGGAGGGGTTCCAGCTATCTGCCTGTCTGGGTGTGGAGTCATGTTGGAACATGGCCAAGTGTGCAGCAACCAGACTCCCAGGAAATGCTGAGTTCATTCCGCCAACCCAAATAGTAACCATGGTGGAGGCCAGAAGGGGCGGGTGCCAGCACCAGCTCATGCACATCACCTTCTGCCCAGCTGGCATCGTGTGGACCGGTCTGTAGGCCCCAGCTCTTCCCGGTGTGCTGACCAGCTCTTCCCGGTGTGCTGGCACTTTCTTTGGCACTAGGAATTTAGATTTTTTTAAAAAATTCCACTTATTGTTTATTTATTGTGTGTGTGTGTGTGTGTGTGTGTGTGTGTGTGTGTGAGAGAGAGAGAGAGAGAGAGAGAGAGAGAGGGACAACATGCATTCCCGTGTGTATGGGTGGACACGCGCATGCCACAGTGTATGGCTGGAGCTCAGAGGACAATTTGAGGGAATAATTTTTTCCCTTCCACCACGTGTCTCCCAGAGATCAAAGCGGCAGCGGCATCTTCCAGCACTGAGTAATGGCCGCTCCCCAGCCCCCCACTGGGGAGTTCTAGACAGGAGTGCCCCCCACTGAGACACCCCCTAGTCCCTCTCTGGACTCTAGGGAGTCACTCAGACTACATCCCCAGACCCTAGCCTTTTTGGATCTAATAACCAGCATAGCTCACAGGCAGAAATTTCACTCCAGATGGTTACATTTGAATGGAAGTTCCTTTTGTAAGAATCTACTAGCTGGTCATGGTGGTGAACGCCCTTAATCCCAGCACTCGGAAGGCAGAGGCAAATGGGTCTCTGTGAGTTCAAGGTCAGCCTGGTCTACAGAGTAAAGTCCAGGACAGCCAGGGCTGTTACACAGAGAAACCCTGTCTCAAAAAAGAATCCTTTAAACCAAGCTCATCCCTGGAGTATCATTTTTTTTTCTGGGCCTCATGGAGCCTTGATGTCCACATCCCTTGGAGTTTTGAAGTCTAGGGAACCAGGGTGCAGTGGCTGTGAGTAGGAGAGACCACTGTCTCTGATCCTGGGGTCTTGGGTTCTGCGGCAGCCTCATCTGCACAGTACCGACCAGCTTGTGAGGAGGCAGAGTCAAGCCCCAGACACGGCAGTGCTGACGAGTGTGAGATTTTAGTAGAGTGTGGTCCTCTGAGACAGGAAGGATGGGGCTGCATAGGTCAGGACCGGTGGGGCCTGACCAAGAGCTAGCAGGGGGCTCCCTCAGACAAGCGGAGGGGGTGACCAGCACCGAGGGCCTGCATCGGCTACAAAAGTACCAGGCGTAGGCCAGGGAGGAGGGCTTTATTTTGGCTCAAGATTTCAAGGAATTTTGTCCACTGTGGTGGTGGCATGGTTACAGTGCATCTGTGGCGTTAGCCTCTTCACATCATGGCTTACTAGGAAGCAGAGACACACCAGAAACACGGCTAGGCTAGAACCCTCTGGATTTAATTCACTTCCGGTGACCTACTTCCTCTAGGCAGATTTTCATCACCGAAGTTTCCACAACCTCACTGCAAACAGCGCCCCCTGTTGGAGAACAAATGTTCAACACATGAACACATTTCACACCCAGGACAGAATGGCCATGTTAGTGCAGAGTGCTCCCACCAAATACTCCTGGCAAAGTGCTCAGGATACCTTGGGCCAAGCTGGGTACAGGGGCAGACATGATATTGAGGCTGGATGGCGGAACCTGATGGTGGGCAGGGCCTGTGGTCTGCAGAGGGATCGCAAGAGAGGGATCCTTCTCCCCGGTAAAGGCAGCTGCTTGCTGACTGGTGCCCCAAGAAGGAAGTTCAGCACCATCTTGCTGTCCTGGCACGTGAGCCCCATCCATGCTCCCGGCTGGTGGCTGAAGCTATAATTACTAAAGGTCTGCATTTCCGATGAAGGGAAAACACCCAAATCCCACTGCTGAGGCTGGAAGCGTGAAAGGCGTGCATGTTGAAGCTCTGGGCTTTTCATTGCCATGCAAGTGTGGCCTGAGCGGCTGTCGCAGAGACTTCTCTTTCCTGGATACCAGGGGAGCCTCCTGAACAGGAGTTGCTACACACACACACACACACACACACACACACACACATACACACATACACACACACATACACACACATATACACACATACACACACACATAGACACAGACACACACAGACACACAGACACACACAGACACACAGACGCACAGACACACATGCACAGACACACACAGACGCACAGACGCACAGACACACACACAGACGCACAGACACACACACAGACGCACAGACACACACACATACACACACGCGCGCGCGCGCGCGCGCGCGCGCACACACACACACATACACACGCACAGACACACACACACACCACACACACGCACAGACACACACACACGC